AAGCTGTGCCCACTGTCGAATTGGTATTCTCTTTCTTCCGACAATTTCGGGTCTGCAAGTGGGGCTAGTTGGGTGTGAATGTGTGTGCGAGCCAATTCATGCTTCTCTCTTCTCTTTTCTCTCTTCTCTCCACAATCTCCGGCCGCCGTCGTTGACTGTCAGGTCCAAACTCTGTGCAACGGCGTCGCGGCCGACAGACCTACAGTCGCTACCAGACGCTGGAACTGGAAAAGGAGTTCCAGTACAGCAACTATCTGACGCGACGTAGACGAATCGAGATTGCGCACAGCCTCTGTCTGACGGAGCGTCAGATCAAAATCTGGTTCCAAAATCGTCGAATGAAGCTGAAAAAAGAGCGCCAGCAGATCAAAGAGATCAACGACGAACTGAGCCGTCGTGGCGGCCCTGGCAACGGCGCTGGCAACGGAGGCGGCAGCGGCGGCGGCGGCGGCGGCGGCGGTATCACGTCAGGCAGGCTGTCCGGAGGACCGGGATTCGGACCCGGCGACCTGGCCTACTCGACGGGACTGACGAGTCCCGAGGCCTCATCGCTCGCCTCGCTGGAGCACGGTCAGACGACGCCCCAGTCGACGGGCGGCGTCGACACCGGCCCCGCCGGACTCGCAGACGCCGTCGGCTCCGGAGACGCCGCTACCGCCGGCCTCCTCGCGGCTCCGCCGCCGATGCAGTTGCCGGGCGCCGGCTCGACCTATTCCAGACTGACGCACACCCTCTCCCCCTCCGATCGGATGCAGCCGCGTCTCGGTCTCGACGGTCTTCCGTCGCTGGTCGCCGCCGGTCTCTACTGCCAGGCGACCGGAGTCGCCACGACTCCGCTGCCTCAGACGCCGGCACAAGCGCTGCTGCTCTCGCACTCGTCACTCCACCTCGTGGCCGGCTCGCCGCTCGACGTCTATCCGTTCGGCCAGACCGGCGGACAGGGTTTGTTTGAGTTCACGGCCCTAGCAACCGGACGACATCAGCCCGAGGCCGAGGCCGAGACCGAGACCGAGGCAGGACTCGGAGCTGGGGTCGGATATGGTGTCGAAGGTCTAATCGAGCATAATTGCGAACGGAATGAAGTGGTGAAAAGAAAGGTCGACGCAGGTGGGCGGGAGGAGGAGGAGGATGACGACGACGACGAAGAGGAGGAAGAAGAAGATGAGGAGGAGGAAGAGGAGGAAGAGGAGGAGGAGGCGGAGGAGGAAGAAGAAGAGGATGATGATGATGATGATAATGGTGATGAGGAAGAGGAAGAGGATGAAGAAGAAACTGGACCAGAGCGTGTCGAGGACAGAGGTGGGGTTTTGAGCCAGAACCTACTTCTCATCGAGCCAATACGCAACAGGCAACGGGGTCTGGTGGGCCGAGGATTTCAATCGAAAGAGAATATCGGTCAGGTCTCGTGACCAGTCGACCCCCGAGACGAGACCATAGAAAGTCGGAGCGAAGGAATGCGGCAAAACGGCAAGGAGTGCACTGTGAATGAAGAAATAATTTATTACAAATCAGAATCGACCGCTTAGCCCTTATAAGTAGTATATTCACTTTAACTGCATTTTTGAACATCAATCCAGATCATGCGCCACTTTGTTTCCTTTTCATCAGCCCCTTTATTCAAAAGACTATATATACGCTTATTTCACAATTGATTTTTAAGGAGACCCCATACTAAAGGAACAATACATATATATATATATATGTATATATATTCGACTTCTCGCTTGTGGTGTATATGACCATCGGATGCCAATCAGTGACTTGGCGGATTGAGGTGAACGCCAATCACCTAAACTGATTGAGCCTAAATGGCATAGTAAAAGGTAATGTACGACAGGACTTTCTGTCTGTATTATTCTTCGCTTTCAAAACTGTACCCTTCTTCGAGTTCCAAGCAATATATGTTTATTTATGATAGCAATTAATCTGCTTCTATCTGTCTCCCCCAATTTTAGTGAATTAATATCCAATCGTCCCGGTCAGAAGAGCCCCACATTTAATAAAGCCGAATCAACTGACGAAAATGCAGAAAATAGATACGAAGAGAAACTGGGTTTCGATGAATCTCATGAGATGACATTTAATTTCGTATGAAATTGCATGAAGAAGGGATTCGTAGGTCGATCTTACCAGATGACCGGAGCCTGACATTAGCTGATTTGATCAATCAGATTTAGGTCAAGTATTGCGTATAGATCTTAACACATACACACACATACACACACACACGGACACACGGACACAGTCGAGCAAGGTAGTAGGACCAGTATGAAAGATAATAGGCAAAACCACTCTATATCTATTCTTCTAGGTTCTTTATTTTCTTTTGGCTTAATTGAGTCCTAATAAGAGGCAAGATAAGATTGGTAGGGGGACTTTCGTTTCGTATGAAAGTGAATGAAGAAGAGCTTCGTTGGTCGATCTCATCAGAAGAGGACGGATGAATTTCGTTGAATCGCAGCTGATTGTCTTTTATAAGATATTCCTGTTGACGCAGTCTACAAGACTTCCTGCCTTGTTTCGGGTGAAAACGAGCTGAGCTTTCGTCCATCATATGATGGACATCATCAGAGCTGGGTGTCATTTTTGTAAAAGTATCATGTTAACACTAGGCCAAGAAGACTATCCGGCTCTATCTTACTTCTTATACAGACTCAATTGGGCCATAATAAAATTAAAAATCTAGCTAGATTGATATAGAGTGATTTGGTTAATTGTCTTTCATACTGGTCCTGTTAATTTTGCTCGAGTGTATGCCTATGTGTATGTGTACGTTTTAGCATCTATATGAAATACGGTTCCTAAATCAAAGTTGGCAAAGTCCTGATCTCACGTTCTGATCCTCAAGACCGAATGACCCACAAGAAAGCCTTGACTGAGACTGCGTAAGTCCGTAAACAAGTATGGTTGAGATGATGAGATATGAGC